CATATTGCACCATTGTGAAACCCCTGAAAGTGTGGCTGCTCGCTCACACACGTGCAGTATAACATAGAAGCTGCACAGCCTGGTGGTGCTGTCATGTTTCCAGAATTTGTGACATTTCAGCTGTCAAATATTCCAAACTTCAGTGCGCCTACGATTCGTCTGCAAACAAAAGAAAAACTCTCAAGACAATCACTTTGTTGTTTGCTCTTTGTGACAGATTGTAGTCGCTTAATTTGAGCTCAAATTGAGTTGAAGATATGTTAATTTATTATGTTTTTGGATAATTACAGTCCATCTGCATGTGTGCACCACAAAGGTCTAAAACAAACTTTAAACTTTGTGATTATCCATATTTAATAATGCAGTTATTAAAGAAATCTCCTCACGCTACATGCCAGGATCGTGTGTAGGTGGCGTTGTGCATGTGCCCCAGCTGGCGCTCTGATCCTGTTTTCTCTGTCACTTTTCCACTAACAACCTCTTCCCCTTCTTTTCTCTCTTTCTGTTTCTCTTCCTTTAACCTCTGGCGCTGTCTGGCTGTTCATCCTCGGTCTGGCCCATCTGCACGGCCGTGTGTGTGTGCATGCCTGTGTCTGAATGTGTGCGCGCGTGGCGCGATGCAGTCGTGCGGAGCAGGTGCCTCCCTGCCTGACTCATGAGACCTCACTGCCCTCCCCGTGGGGCACGCCAGCACTCGCCAGGAAGAGGTAGCTACAGCGCTCTGTCACTTTCCTCACCCTCATCCCTCCTTCTCTGTCATGCTTACCTTCAGTAGATACTAAAAGAGACCTTCTGTGTGCCTGAATAACCACTGATCCGTTAACTGTCACATAGAGCTACTTTTAGCTGTTTTACAGGAATTAAACTTGTTTCCTCATTTTTAAAACAGACACATATGAACATTAAAGAGGACGTAATGGTTTTTCTGCTCATAGTAATCATGCCCAAAGTGCTGGTAATCCATGTGACACACTCAGGCTGCTCTGAACACACAGTGTCAGACAGTTTTTTTTACTCTTTGATCTTTATGATGCCGTAGAGCAGCGGTCTCCAACCTTTTTTGCGCCACGGACCGGTTTATGCCCGACAATATTTTCACGGACCGGTCTTTAAGGTGTTGCGGATAAATACAACAAAATAAAACTAGTACCGGTACCGAAAAAAAGAAAATTTATTCATAACACACGTGAAAAGACCCAGGAAAACAGAGTAAACGATAAAAACGATAACAAAATAACGCTGAAAACCGATAAAAACCCTGAAAACTATACATTTCACACCTGAACCTCAACTCTCGCGGCCCGGTACCAAACGACTCACGGACCGGTACCGGTCCGAGGCCCGGGGGTTGGGGACTGCTGCCGTAGAGCACAGACGCACTCGTTCACCGACTGTTCCCCTTTGTGAGGGGCAGCCAATTAGAAGACGGGCGACTTAAAGGGAGAGCAAGGAGCTAAAGCAGCTTAATTTAGATGAAGTGAGCGCATAGACCAACGGCCAGTATATGATTTATTAAACCACCACAAACTGTGCGGTTTATGCCATAGATGCACTAAACACTGCTGTAATTACCAGGATGACTCGTTATAATTCTGTAATAGTTTATGTGGAACGTCAATGCTAAAATATAATTATTGTTGTTGTTCATTAATTTTTTACATATTTTACAAAAAAAATCACAAGAAAAGCGAAACTAGTTTTTTGTTATTAAGATGCCAAATTATGGTTATTTACACTTAATTTCTCTTTTTCAGAGGACAGTGTGAAACAAGTTTTTGACAGATTCCTAAAATACTTGTTTTCTTCTGGTTATGACAGCTGGTCTAATAAATTTGTTGAGCTCAGTAAATAAGGATAATTTTAACCGTGACTCATTAGAGGTTTACTCTGGTAGACGAGAAGAAGAACAGCATATTATGTCGCCTTTAAAATGAAGCACTATTCATGAGTAGTGTTAAAGACACAACTATATTAGCTGTGGTGTCCAGAGGCTTGGAGATCATCCACAACATCACACTCAAACTGTTTTATCAGATTCAAACTTTATGATTTTCGCTGCCAAAAGAGTGCAGCAGATATTTCAGCAGTGAGTCACAGTCATCTGTTTAGCAGTAAGTGATGTCGTCCAAGAAAAATTTATTTTAGGGTTAATGCAGTTTTCTCTGTGTTTTTTGACTCCTTGTTCACACGTAAATGCTGATCTGAAAGCCTGAAAATTAGAGGTGGGAATCACCATACATCCCACGATACGATATTATCACAATACTTAACGCACAATACGATAATATTGCAATTTTTAAATATTTTGTGATATTCAGATTCTGTACATAAAGGTAAACTTTATCAATATTCATTTTATCTAATATCAAAGTCTCACACTCAGTCTTTCTCTCATTTCAGTTT